AATTCTGGGGCTAATCATAATACGCATGTCCACTATTTTCATTACAACTTGGCGGGAGTTCAGCACTCTAAATGAAGCACTCGGTTACATTCATTTTCACTTTTTGTTTTTGAAATAATAACATTACAGAGCTAGAATGACAGCGAAAATACTAAGAAATAAAAATAAAAAAACAGACACATAAGTACAGTAAATAATACTTGAGGGTAGAGGTCGACCGATATGGGTTTTTCTCTGGCTGATGCCGATGCCGATACTTAGAAAACAGGGCAGCCGATGGCCGATATGTGATGCCGATATATTTGGCCAATTTTCTTTTTCTTTTTTCCCCTTCATCTCATAGAAGAGAGTTTGAGTAAATGTTTATAGCAGGTCATAAGATAGTAATAGTAGTAGTAATAGTAGCCTAATTCATAGTAATAATAATACATAGCTCAAAACTTAAGCACCTTCTCAAAACAGTTCTGAAGCATGCTTTTTTTATGTTTGCTGACAGACACCAGTGTTTCCCACAGGCTTGCAAATGCAAATTCATTCTCTGCCAGCAGGAGGCACTTTTGGAGCGTGAGAAATATAGAGGTTTCTATGGTAACGGCTGTAATCAAATAAGCACTACTTTATCAGGCATTACAGGAAAGACGGAATGAAAATGACATTGAAGCTTTTATGAAGACGGTCAAACTTGCAGTGCTCAATTTATTCAAGGAAGTATAAGCTTTTTGGAAAATCTATTTGTGGCGGTCAGTTTTGATATTGTGACGAGCCGCCACAAATAACTCAGTGTATGGGAAACACTGGACACTGCTATAAGTAAAATGGCCATAGTGATAACAAAAATGAAAGAGTTCACTCAAATTACACAGCCTGCAGCACACGAGCAATGACATCGTGGAGACTATTGTCAGACCCACAGACACATTTAGTGAGGAAAGTTAACGTGCACGTTATAGTCAGCCCAGAAGTTTCATCTGAATTGCACATGTTTCTACTTTCACATGCAAATGACTTGTTGCACTTATGAATATGATAAGCACGGTCGGCATCAATTCTAGTAGGGTAAAACGTAATTACGCTTTCGAAACGGTCTGTTTTTCCCTACCATCGTTAGAAGATGTGTGTGAACAAGGCATGAGTGTAAGCTGCTCCGTCTCACGCAGCCTCAGAGGGAGAGAGATTCTCCGGTATGGCGTTCTGCAACAACGCTTAGCTGCCCGCAGATGCGCCTGCCTAAAAATCGGCCTAATTTGCAGTACAATAGGCCGATGCAGATTAATTTAAAAATGCCAAAAATCGGCCCGATTAATCGGCTGGCCGATCAATCGGTCGACGTCTACTTGAGGGTAATTTAAAAGGAACATGCAAATAAACCAGGGCAGCAAATTATCACATCGAATAACGCATCTTCAATTTAAAACAATCATTTTAAAGCTTGGGCTATTTTACTCCAATAGGTAACCGTATGTATTCTAGCCCCATTTATCCCTTTAGTGCAGAGTTCTAAACAAACAATGTTATGAAAATAGAACAGCTAGAATCTTTTAAGGTCCACGTCAGGTGTAAACCATTGCTGTAAAATAGTTTTTTTAGCAGCAGTGAAGCCAGACATTAACAGTCTTCTCTGAACTAATGTAAACTTATGAGAAGAATCATCATTTAATAACATAAGACAAGGATCAAGATCAAAATGCAACTTTGTGATGTTTTTTAGCACTTGAACTACACGTTTCATTTGCAAATTTTTTGGTGCTTTCTCTTTGAGTAAATGCATTCTGTATCTGTCTGTGTGTTGCCTCACTAGGTTTAGTGAACACATCCTGTTTGCTCACACGGTCCCCTATATGCTGAGTGCTGATGAAAATAATGCCGTAACAATTATTAAATTAAATATGAGGTTTGTCACACTTTATAGTAGGTGTCTTTACTTTGTATGTACATAAAAAATTATGAATAGTTACTTGGTATGGGTAGGTTTAAGGGAGGGTTAAGGTTTAGGGTAGGGATGACAGTGTAATTATAGATGTATCTACAGAAATTAAATACAGATGTAATTATTGGAAGGTATTTTTAAATACATTAACAGTACAATGTAAAAACATGTATGTACACAATACGTGCATTGTATCATATGATTAATTTCAATGTAAGTTAAAGACACTTGTAACAAGGACACCTTAAAATAAAGTGTAACTAATATTAACTAATTAATTGCACATTTTTTCTGAAATTAATCGCCACCTGACATTATAGTTTTTAAATACTTTTGTATTGCAATAAATACAGTATATTTTTTATATTTGTTTAATGGCATTTTTTAATGACTGAAGGTGAGTATCACTGATACCAATGCTAATGATGTCTCTAGGAAACTGTTTTTCCCCCCTAATATTTAGTTATTGACTATAATGTAGCCTTTCAACATTTCAGTATAATTGAGAGCTATCAATTTGAACATTAATTAGACTTTAAAAAAATAACAACTTCTAATTTAAGTGAACTTAAAACAGCTACCTGTGCCCTTCAGCAAGTAGGAAATATATAGAAATTGAATTCAGTTATCAAACACTAAATTCAAAATTGAATATAGAAGAATCCTTAAAGGTGGGGTATGTATTTTTTCAGTCGGGCCGAGTACCAAAACAAACTTGTAGCCAATCAGCAGTAAGGGGCGTGTCTACTCATGATGTGGAGGAGAAAGCGCTCAGTGCACAGGACGGATATTAGCCGAGCCGAGCGACGACAGAAAGATAGAGATGGCGGTTAAATACAAGAGGAAAACGTCTGCGGAACAAAAGAAGGCTTACGATAAGGCGACGACAGAAGGATTTATTAAAAGAAGGCTTAAGATAAGGCAAGAATTAGGACCCTTGTACATATCGGATCAGCTTTCCAGCGCTGGAGAGAACTCAAGGGGCGGAAGGCCTGCGATCGGACGGCGAGGTTGCTTTGTTTCTTCTCGATAGGTGAGTAACAGCGTGTCTAACGTACACCGGACGTGATCTGTCGCACCGCGCCGCAACAGCTAAAGTCTGTCTACACTGGACACGACAAGGCGATAAGGAACGCTGAAAATCATTTGAAATTTGTGTCAATACGTCATTAGAATGTAAATAGAACGCAGCCGCAGTTTTCTGTCGGGGATTTGTTGCGTCGCGCCACATCCAGTGTACACAGCATCACTGATTATAATGAGTTAGCTCTATAATATTTTGTCGCGCCGCTCACGTCCGATGTAGACACGGTGTAACATTGGTTTTGCTTTGTTTCACAGAACTAATCGTTGCCTGGGTTGCGTACGTATGTGTGGGGCGATACCCTTTTGGGGTAGGGGCGTGTTTGTTTTGGTGATTTGAAATATCAACTTCCCCCACCTTTAGAAAAAAATCACTTACCCCACCTTTAAAGCTACAAAAGTTGTTGATTTTCTCTTTTTTTCTTTTGTTCTTTGAATAACAGATGTCACAGCAGCTGGGATATTAGGTTATTTGACTGCTATTACTTTAAGAGCTGCCGCTGCTGAACGTGTCGCGGATCTGACATGCATACTCGTAGTTTCATTCATGCTTTAATATGAAATGATACAGCCTACATTGCATACAATTGAAGAGCACGTGTTACAAGCACAATATAACGGCAGACTGGACAGAAAGATTCATTTTTACTGACATATGGCCTGACAACACCTCATCTGACCGCAGTCAGATTAAACTGGAAAAATTAACCGTCTGCATTAATGCACTAATTTTGACAGCACTAGTTATGTTGTAATGCTTATTATTCAAAACAGTACAATAAATCATCAAACACCTTAGCTTTGGGGATTTAAGACAAGTTGGAAGTTATCTTAATAATAATAAAAAAAGTTATTTACCATGTTTTTAAGACAATTTCTTTGAGAATTTAAAATCTTAAAACCGAAGATATTAATATTTTTACAATTGTTTTGATCATGCAAAATGTTTGTTACTAAAGAAAATAGCAGTTAAGAATTCTATTCTTGACCATGTTTCTGTAATCCGGCTCCTTGGACAAATAAAATTTCACCGTGGGTGACAGTAATAGGTTCTAAAAGACCAATGACTTGTCATTTGTTACTTGTCTCTGTTGGGGCTGATTAAGATCTCATGCCTGTTTAGAACATAGTGAAGGCTGAAAAAAAACATCTCATTCTGAAATGTATCATCTCAACCACATTTACACATCAGGACTTGCTCAGTATTAAGCGACATGATGAATAACACCGTAAACTACACACAGAGCTTTGCCAGTTACTGTATAATGAAGACCATTCACATGTAGACATCTTAAAGATGTTGTACAGAGTGTAAAATGGTCGTTAAATCTTTATTTCTATTATTGTTTATATTTTGTTAGAGCAAAACGGTACAATAAAACCCCTTTAAAGAGAAATTGTCAAATATATTAATTAGTGCTGTCAAACGATTAATCGCGATTAATCGCATCCAAAATAAGAGTTTTTGTTTACATATTATATGTGTGTGTACTGTGTATATTTGTTGTCTATATAAAGACACACACATACAGCATATATTTTGAAAATATTTACATGTATATATTTATATTCATATAAATTATATCATATATAAATATATTTAATATATAAACGTAACATATTTTTCTTAAATTATATACATGCATGTGTGTGTATTTATATATTCATAATAAATATACACAGTGCACACACATATGTAAACAAAAACCTTTATTTTGGATGCGATTAATCGCGATTAATCGTTTGACAGCACTAAACTAGACAAGTAATTATTGAAACACAAAGTCTGAATGACTGACGTGCTGATGTAAAATCACAAGCAATTTGCATAACAAAGTTACTGTACATCTCGTTATCTTCCAGCATAGCAAATGACAACTGGAAAAGACAAACTGGAGTCATTATTTTATTGATTTATTTGAGGTGTGGATCTAGTCATGTTGAATCTGAGATGTGTGTGTGAATTGTGGCTGTGTGGTTTGTTTCGCAGGGTCAGCCTGTGGGTCAGTGTGACTTCAACAGACGTCTGCTGTGTATCGAGAAGGAGATCATCTCCCCACGATTCGAGAAAATGAGGCTGGGCCAGATTGATAAATCCAAGGAGCCCTTCAGCGTCAGGAACAAGCCTTTCTTCGACATCCACGCTGCGCGCAAGGTATTTATCGGTAAACGTCCGTGGCCGTGTGTTGTGAAAGGACATGTAAATGCCACTTAAAGGCCAGGTAAATGACTTGAAAACATATAATTTGTAACCTCTTTAAACTAGCAACTACTAGTAATCCTATCTAACCATCTCCTGCAGTTCTCCACTGCTACAGTCACTTTGTAAAACTGTATTCTCTGTGAAGCTGCTTTCGATCCATTTGTGAGGTAAAACGCACTGTAGAAGTGCAAAGGTCTCTCTCTCTCTGATGCTCTTTCAGAACTTATCTGAAACTTTGAAGGTTACAGCTCAGGAAACACAAAAGAAACAAATGAATGAGCGTCTGTAAAACATGAAAACAGTTGTCTGGTTATTCCACAGGCTGTATATTTAAGTGCAAGTTTGTGTGCAGCTCAGGAACGAGGGCTAGTCAGTGATCACAGTCTATATCCAATGTGCTGAAGATGATAATTACACCAAGCATTAGTCTGGGTAGTGTTTTCACCATAGACAGACAGTTCAAGGTTCCAGACAATTGACAGATATATTCTAGATATTGACTGTTTATTCTATATTGTGCCCATTTCTGTTCATTAAAATGGTCATCCTTGTATTTGGACCGACAGTTCTTGGTCTGGTTCTGTGTGTCGTCCGTAAGGAGTCTAGTTTTGTTGACGGTCTTAGGGGATCGGTTATTGATCGGGGTCTGGTCTTAACTTCAGCTCTAATTGGGGTAGCTGTGGCTTCAAAAACTATTGAACATTTCTAGCCTCATTTCCCAGGAGAAAAGATTCAGCTCATTTAACACACACACGTCTGTCCCCGATACTAGGGCACATTGCTAATGGCCGATAAATTATTATTGATATTTGTTGAAAAAAATGAATCTGCAACGTCAATAATAAAGTTTTGAGTAACTTTTCATATTTACATCTAGAAGCTCAGGTGTGTGCGGTTAAAGAAGTTTGCATGTTCTGCGTGTTTCTGTGTAAATGAGCGACACAGTTTTGTTTACTACACACATGACTGCTGTCTAACTATATGAGGACATGAACACATGAAACTTCATCTCCGGAGCTGCTCTGAGAGTCATTTCATCAGATAGAGGAAAAACTATCATGATATCATATACAAACTTCACTGCAAACTACCAAAATAAAAGTTTATATTACTTTTAGTAATAGTAATATACAGAAATATATTACTATTGTACAGTAAAAATGTACTTCTCAAAGTAACAATAATAATTTTATTTCAAGGAATATAGTATAACCAAGGTATTTTTCATCCATATTTTAATTCAGACAGTATACAAGTTTTGTTTTGCATCACTTTATTTGACAAAAAAGTAAAAATGGAATATGTTGTAAATGAATCTTTTAATTTAATTACATTTTAAAATATTAATTGCATTGTACGTTTTATGAACTCATTTCATTAGACATTAGATTTTTTATTATAAATTTGTATTAAAGGGGTCATCGGATACAAAATTCACTTTTACATGTTGTTTGAACATAAATGTGTGTTGGCAGTGTGTGTACATATCCACCCTAAATCCGCCCAGTGCTTTTTTTTAAATCCCCAATAATAATGACCACTTTCTCAGATCAGGCTGTTCTGAGATTCTTGGCAGAGTGACATAGTTCTGCACAGGCCCCTCCCACAACTATTGACTGACACGGCCGTTTTAACGCAGACCCGCCCTGAGTGAGCTGTCAACAGTCCGCCATTGTTTCACCGCCGGAGCAGGGACAAAGACAAGAATGTCTCCTAAGTGATTGAGGGGTTTTGTTTTTGGATGTAATAATGAATATAGCAGACACTGATCTGAAGACACAGTGGATTACTTTTGTTTTTGAAGGGAATGCACCCCCGATCTACCCAAATGCATTTATGTTCGTGCAAATCATTCGTGATCCAGCCTCACCTCCAGAAGAAGTGAGTATAAGGGTTTTTTATGAATCTTTGCAAATAGCCTTTCCTAATAATGTACTAGTTAGCAAGTTCCGCGCTAAAGTTTACAGCCTCAGAGAACTGCTCATCACCCCACGGAGGGAGAGGGCAGGGTCCAGCAGAGCTCATTAGCATTTAAAGGGACACGCACTGAAACGAGCTGTTTTTGACAGGGTAAAAAGGGTGTTGTTTTACACTACCATTGAAAATTTGTAACCAAAGTTTGTTATAGACTTTTCATGAAGACCCTAAAGAATGGTACAGTATCAACTTGTCAACTGATGACCCCTTTAAATTATAAACCAGAATTCAGAAAAAATAAACCGAAAACTTTTGTGGAATAGATAGATAGATAGATAGATAGATAGATAGATAGATAGACAGACAGACAGACAGACAGACAGACAAGACAAGACATTTTTCCTGTTCTCATACAAAAGACCCTTACAGTTCAATATCAGGAACATCAGCCAGTGAGCTCTTCTGCTCCATGTCCATGAACGATAAGTGGGATCATTTTATGTGAAATTAACATGCTCGATGGTTTCTGAGAAATTTCCAGCAAGAAGAGGTTCACCCCATGTCCTCTGTAGCCGCTTCATAAACACATTTGATTCTCTGTTCATTGTTCACCATGAATAAGTCTGTTTTCCTCTAGTCTGGTTCCTCTGTGCCCTGAACCTCCAAGCTCGTGTGTGTGTGTGTGTG